CACACACACACACACACACACACACACACACACACACACACACACACACACACACACACCTTGCCAGCCAAGGAATCTGCCTGAAGGCTGCCTCCTGTATGTTGGAGTTTCAAAACTGGCTCTGTGGCCTTGCCCCGAGCCACGTGACTCTTCTGAACACTGTACCAGCTGCCCAACCCACTCAGCCCCTCCTCCGAGCCCCCTGCTCCCTCTGCCATCCCGCCTCCTCTGCTCTGTTCCAGCTGTGCACCCTTGGCCTTCTGTGTGGCCAAAACCCCCTGCCTCGCCCCAAACAGCACCATTGGTATGGTTAGCTTGCAAACAAGTCTTTGCCCACTGACTCCGTGGACTCTGGGTTTCCTTGCCCCTCCTCTGCCTCCATCCCGTCTCTAGCCGCACAGCTGGCCTAGGGAATCTCTTCACTCCATGAACTCCTCCTCCACACAAGGCGCCGACCACCCAGCTCACCACGACTTACTCTACTCTGCTCCAGCCTCAGCTTCTAGAAACTTGGCCTCCTGCCCTGTCTTGGCACAACAGCGGCCCTGGATGTGAGAGTCTCCCCCAGGAGGCTTAGTACAGTGAAGAGCAGGGCAGCTACACAACCCACCCGCCTTCCAGGAAAGACCCCGGAACGGGGCCAGAGTTCCTGCCAGGACACAGTTCAGATGTCTGTCGACAGCCACAGACTCACCGCACAGACACCCTTCCTGTCCACCCTTCTGCCCCCAACGCCTCCTTCCAGCCTGTTCTCTGCATTCCCCCACCCGCAGCCCCAGGGAGAAGCCCTCCTTCTGCCAAGCATGCCAAGGCTTTGTTCATTTCTGCTCCACAGAGAAAGCCGTTACCCCCTCAACCCACACCGGGGACACACACACTGGTGCACTTGTGTGTGACTGTATGTGTGCCATGTGTATGCATGCTCGCCTGAGCACTTGGCTTGTGCTCACTGAATACTCGGAGACCAAGACGTCAGATTGCACGGTTTATTGAGGATGCAACAGGGAGGGCTTTAAAGAATACAGGAGAAGCCAAGCATGTCCTCTTTTCTCTGGTTCTGGGTGCAGAAAGTGAACACTGAGTCCCTTTACTTCGAGTGGTCCCACTCAAAATGAGACTGTGCCGGGGTCGGGTCCGCTGGCCACTCTCAGTTCATTGTCTGTTAGTCGCCCTCTTGGATAGAGAGCTAGCTCCTGTCACAGGCAGGAGCTGGGACAAAGCTCAGCAGACGAGAAAGCCCAGATTGGGACCCAAGAAGCCAGGCAGCATGGTGAGGACAGAGGCAAAGGTTGGTGGGAGGGACAGGCTGGACCTGAGCAGAGATGAGCTGAAGCTGGCGAAGCCCTGGTGTCTACGGGACGCGCACCACACGTGGCGGCCCAGGGCTAGCCAGACTCGGAACAGTGGAGGGGGAAGGAGGGTGGCTGAGGACAAATCCAGGGGCCCTGGGGTTCCGAGGTCGGGAAGCCCTCTCTACCGACCGCCTTTCTTGGAGGGGGTGCTCAGGCTGGAGCCCTTCGTTAGGGTGTCCTTGTAGTCGCTGGCACTGCCCCGGCTCCTGGTCTCTCCACCACGCACGCTGCACACTCCAGAGATGCAGCTGGTGCTATTGGCCACGTAGCCACCGCTGACCGTGCTGGGCCGGAAGCCATAGCCTCCGCTGCCGCTGGTGCTGCTGATAATGGCTGCAGAGAGAGAGAGCTGGGCTCAGGCCTGCTCAGGCAGAGCTAGGGAGGGGACTCTCCTCCCCCTGAGACAGACAGGGCTCTGTGAGGACCTGATCGTAGTCATTCCCTCACCCTGGGGAGAATAGTCCAAGGACACCTTCCCCGTGTCTTCGACTTACTCAGTTTATACCCACTGTGGCTGAGTCTTGCCCTGCTGATTCTCAAGCCCACCTCCTTCTACCAGGTGCCCACGTGGTGCCCACGCGGTGCCCACACGCTCCCTCGTCTTGGGCACCCACCACTGTCCCCTCCATCAGTGACTTTGCTAAATCCACCTCCAGCCTCTTTCTCTTGCTGGCTCCCCACAGATGGCAATCCAAGACCCGTGATCCCAGATCCAATCCTGACAGCTTGAAGCACCCCTCCTGGACTCCCTTTAGTGCCCCCAACCCATCTAAATCCCCAGCCCCAATCTGACTGTGGCTTGCAAAGCCAGCCCCGAAAGCCTGACACAGACCCCCGCACGCATCATTTTCTTAGAAGTCACTCTCCTGTGGCTGTCCCTTACTGTCATCCCCTGGGAAGCAGGTTGATGAAGATGAAAGAGTCCTAGGCCTGCCCTCTGGGCTTTGTGATCTCAGCCTTTTCCCTTCTGACTGTGACTTAGCTCCAAGCCCACAGAATACTTACAGATGCTGACAGGGGATGGGTACTCTCCCGACATCCTGTTATTGGAGAGAAGTAAAATTAGGGGCATCCCACAGCCTCTTCCAGAACGCTGTCCCCACCAGCCCGAGGTGGGCTTCTGGACCCAAAGGGCACCTGTGGAAACTCCAGGACGGCTTTAGTACAAGCAGAGCCTCAGGAGCTTTGAAGGCTACCCATGAACTTTTGGGGGTGAGCAGTCAACATACTGGACTGAATAATCGTTTTTAAGAGGAGCATGTGTGAGGACTGTATGTCCACTCCCAGTGTCCTGCCACTGTGAGGCTTCTCACTCCCTAGCACACCGGGAAGCTGGAGTGGCTAGTCCAAAGAGGGAACAGGGAACCCTAATAGGGGAGTGGGATTCAGGAAAGAAAGGAAGTGGGATGCTCCCAGACACTCAGGAGGTTGTAAGGGCTGCATGGGCTGATTCGTGTAGCACACCACAGCCCAGCAACCAGGATGAAGTGAGCATCAGCATTCATGGGTATGAGTGCTTCTCTCTCTCTCTCTCTCTCTCTCTCTCTCTCTCTCTCTCTCTCTCTCTCTCTCTCTCTCTCTCTCTCTCTCTCTCTCCAGGGTTTTATGTAGCCGAGGCTGGCCCCAGACTCAGACTCACCATGTAGTCAGGGGTGACCTTGAACAATCCTCCTGACTACCTCACAAAAGCTGGGATGTCAGGCATGCGCTTACCACGTCCAGTTATATGCAATTCTGATGATCAAAGCCAGGCTTCGCACGTGCTAATCAAGCACTCTACCAACTGAACCGCACTTCCAGCCCAGCTGGTGTTCCTAACTGCTGTTAGCATTCCTGTTCTCACCAACCCTTTGCTCCCCAACAGCTCCTGCTGGGTGTGGAGTTTTCTCCTTTGCTGAAGCCTCACAGGATTCTTGCCCAAGCATACCAGCTCACCTGCACTCCTCGCTCTCCAGCAGCTTGCGGTAAGTGGCGATCTCCATGTCCAGGGCCAGCTTTAGGCTCATGAGCTCCTGGTATTCACGCAGCATCCGGGCCAGCTCCTCCTTAGCCTGGTGCAGGGCACCCTCCAGCTCATCCAGCTTGGCCCGGGCATCCTTGAGAGCACTGTCCCCTCGCTGCTCGGCATCAGCGATGGCTGTCTCCAGATTAGAAGCCTAAGCAAGGAAGTCAAGAAGTTAGAGAACTGAAGGAGGCATGGGTATTGTCTGCAGCCAAACTCCCCACATTCAGTAAGATCCAGTGGCACGCTGGATGCACACCACGCTTCCGCTCTGGCTGGAAGGGGCTGGCAAGCCCTCCTGGATCTCAGCTATGGCCCTGTTCCCAGACATATGGTGAGAGGAAAGCACGCCCCCTGTCCTCTGGAGACCACAACCACTCCAGTGCCCAGACAATGATCATCAGGCTGCACAGTGAGTAAGTGGCTTTCTGTCCTTGAATTGTTTAGGGTCTGAGAGGAGAGATATTACAAGACAATGTGCTAGATGCAATGATGGTTCCTGCCCAGACACATGGCCACAGGCTAGGGTCCCAGGAAGGAGATTCTCCCAGAATGATGATTATTGGCCCATCACTGTGTGCCCAGCACCTTGCACAGCACCATCCATCACTGTGTGCCCAGCACCTTGCTCAGCACCACCCATCACTGTGTGCCCAGCACCTTGCTCAGCACCACCCATCACTGTGTGCCCAGCACCTTGCTCAGCACCACCCATCACTGTGTGCCCAGCACTTTGCCCAGCACCTTGCTCAGCACCACCTGTTCCATGCCTCATCTCATCTGATCCTATGGCCACCCGTGACTGCAGAACGATTGTGTTAAAGCCCATAGGAAGAACACGCATTGCGTCTAGCAGCGGTATACTGCCCAATCTCGCCACACCTCTCATCTGGTGCAGAGAGATGGGAATGCTGCCCCTCAAGGTCTTTGTGGGAATTAAATTCAGTAGAGTTGTGGGCTATCGTTTCATTCCCTCTGCATCCTCTGCCCCCACCTGCTAACGTGGGGCATTCCCACTTTACTGGGGACTCCCTGAGTCTGCTTCCCCTTCTCAGTCACATCAATGGCGTTTATGAAGCTACTGCTATGTGTAGGCACAGCTCAAGATGCTGAGGGGTCATGGAGCAGCCAGTGCCCTGACTCTCTTCATTCCAGAGAGCATGGGGAACAGGTGACTGCCAAGAGGAAGTGCCAAGAGCTGTGAACACATGAGGGAAGGGCAGACACCGAGGAGCCCAGCCTGCCGGAGGAGCTCTGAGCCCAGCCTGTAGGCCAGGGAGGGCTTCCTGAGAGAGACAAGAATACCCAAGGAAAGGGGCTGGGAGTGAGCAGGAAAGAGGGTGCCCCAGAGACGTCCAATTGCTGGAGGCAATGACCTCACTAGTATCTTCTGTTGTTAGAGACATCTGGGAAGCCAAGGCCCTCAACTCACATGCCCTCCACTGGGCTCACTGCCCCTGGCCACAGGCCAAAGTCCCTCACCTGCTTCTTGGCATTCTCAATCTCTGAGCGGAGTCTCTGGATGAACCGGGTCAGCTCGGTGATTTCATTCTTGGTGTTTTTGAGGTCATCCCCGTGGCGGCCAGCTGCCAGCTGTAGCTCCTGGAACTGGAAAGCCCAAAGCACAGAGATGGAGAAGTGTGATAGCATGGAGTCTGTGGAGGTCCCTGCATCCCTGACTGAAGGGTCGTGGCACCAGGGCACGGGGGACTCTGACCTGGGTACTATCTCTTATCTGAACATAACTGGGCTGATAAGAAGGCTGATAAGCCTTCACATCATGGTGTCGCCCTGCCCCCCACCGTGGCCCCAGCCAGGTCTCGGCCTCTCACCTTGGTCTGGTACAGCGCCTCGGCCTCAGCTTTGCTCTTCAGGGCAATTTCCTCATACTGGGCGCGGACCTCATCAATGATGCTGTCCAGGTCCAGGTTCCTGTTGTTGTCCATGGACAGGATGACGGACATGTCGCTGATGTGGGACTGGATCTGAGCCATCTCCTACAGGGACCATAGGTGGGGGAAGAGATCAGCTTGACCAATGACAAACTCTAGTGATGCCGTATAGGGTCTAGAACATGAGATTGCTACCTTCGTGTGCAAAGAAAATACCTTGCTGGACCCTAGGCTGGTTCTGCTGCCGTGGAATGAGGCCTCAGGAATGGAGAGGGGGCTCTCAGGAGTAACGTGAGATGGATGGCTGACTCAGGGGCCTCCTTGAGAGCTGGAGCCTCTGTGACCACCCCCCCCCAGTCCCTAGAGTTTTAGCCTCTGACTATCCTGAAGAATGGGGTGCAAAGAGACTTACGGCTTCAAAGAGACACTTGAAGAATTTGATGTCCTGGTCCATGGAGTCCACCTTGGCCTGCAGCTCCACCTTGTTGGCATAAGCCGCATCCACATCCTGAAAGAAGACCCAGCGATCCACGGTCACCACAGGTGACGTTCATCCCCAGCCCAGCTGCCTGGCTGGAGGAAGAAGACATTATCTTCTCTTGTGTGGCTCAGGAGGAAGGCAGTAGGGACAGCTGAAGGTGCAGCCCTCATCTCCCATCCTGAGAATCTGATCCATGAGCAGGAATGAGAACCTTCAGAAAGGGTGTCACAGCCAGGCTGCTGCAAAAGTCCCCTCTGCAACATCTGAGCTAGGTCCCATGGCTGCAGGGAGCCCCTCACACTGGTTCCTCCCCTGTCATCCTCCTGGCCCCTTCCTTCCTTTCTTCTCCTGGATGTCATGGTCCTCCGGCCTTCCCACTGTTACTCCTGCATCAGCTCATTTGGGGGCTGATGGCAATGCACATTGGTAGGCTCAGCCTCTCTGGCCAGCCCCTGGCCTTGGAACCTCCTTCCACTCACCTTCTTTAGCAGCACGAATTCGTTCTCTGCAGCTGTCCTGTGGTTGATCTCCTCCTCGTACCTGTGAGAAGGGCAGGGATCATAGCTTACACCCTGATGGACCCAGGGAAGACCCTGAGTACGGAAAAGAGTGCCAGCCAGTGAGGCGCAGAAGACTGAAGGGTCAGCCAAGCAAGGAAGACTTCCTGGAGGAAGGGATATAGTGGCCAGCTTCGGAAGAAGATCCAGCTTGGAAAATGAGGAGGAAGTGTGTGCAGCGAATGGCCCTTGGGAAACCTAGGGGGATGCAGGAAGCAAGCTGCCTCCTACCAAATGTGAACGGTGCCCAAGTGTCCCCATGCTCTTTCTCAGCACAGAAGCTCTGAGAATGTGGAAGGTTTACCCAACATTGAGCCCAGGCCAGAGCTCTGATCATGGTCCAGCTACTTGGACATTTGTCTCCAGTGCCAGTCCAGAGGCTAGGGATCAGGGAGCATGTTCTGGGTTTTTGATGTGGTGACTCTACTTGGTATAGCCCAGAACACCACTCTCCACCTCCAAAACTTTGAAACCAAGATTTAAAACCCTTCAGAGGGACAAGGCTCGCTGTCCGGTGACAGGCCGTGTCCTCACTCACTTCTTCTTGTAGTCCTCCACCACATCACGCACGTTCCTCAGCTCGGAGTCCAGCCTCACTCTGTCCCCAGACAGCGTCTCCAGCTGCTTCCGCATGTTGCTGATGTAGCCCTCGAGGATGGGCTCCAGGTTGTTCTTGCAGTTGTTCAGGTCCAGCTGCTGCAGCAGCTCCCACTTGGTCTCCAGCACCTGGTTCTGCTGCTCCAGGAAGCGCACCTGGAACCCAAGCCCAGCCACCGTTGAGCCCCGAGAATTCATCACACTCGTCACACAAGGCCCTCATGCTCAGCGCTCCGGCTGCATCTTTTCCTTTGCGCCTTATAGCTGTAAGAGGCGGGCAGCTCTGATCAGAGGTGGGTTGGCCACGATCAGTGGAGAAGACACTGGGACATGAAGAAGTCATGCTTCTTCCCAAGGTCCAGAAGTTTAGTCAAAGCCAGAGCTCAGGACTAAACCCAGACAAATGTCCCCTCACTGTGGACCTCCAATCAACCAGAGCCCACGGTGACCAAGCAGAGTAAAGTGTGAGCACACGCAACAGCAGTAGTGCAGAGCCAGACTGGGTGCATCTGTCTGGAAAAGGCACCCACTCTGTACATGACGTCCGCTCCTTATCTTATGACATGTCAGAGTGCAGTGAGGCTGGGGTCAAGAGCTTCCCAGTGTTTCAGACTCCACACTGGCCCCACCCTGTCTCTGCTCACAGATGCTGCCCCACACACATGCATACACACATGTGCAGCTCTAGAACAGACAAGCTCTACCTTGTCTGGAGCAAGCATGAAATATGGAACCAGAGGGATAGACAGAGCCTGGCTCTCACCAAATCGGGGAACTTACCAGAGATCATTAGCATACACCCCCCAGCTGGTTATAGAGAGGACAATTTTTTAAAATTTGATGTCTTTTTTTTTTTTAACATCAGTGAACACAGGCACACTTAAGTAAGGCTGTGTTCACAAGAAGTGGGAATACCATGTGGAACTCTGCATTGAGATGAGGCTATGCACTGAACTTTGGGTCTCTAACAGATCATCGAGCACTTAGTTTGGTTTAACCAACCCAAAGTTCTTCCTGAGCTGAGCATTAACCACATCCGGGACACCACAGTACCCAACATGCCACTAGGCCACAGTTAGGTCACCAATAGGTCTTGACATCTCCTCTCTGCCTGTGGTTGAGAGGCCACAGTGCTCCTGAGACCAAAGCTCCTGAGAGTTAACCAGGCTTCGGGTCTCCTTCCTACTCCCAGAGAAGACCACCCTCACCTTGCTTTTCTGTGTCTCTGAATTTGCCCCTCTGTAGGGTCTGGACAGCCCACCCAGGCGCAGAACACTCCCACCCCCCAGACCTAAATCCTCAGAGCACCTTGATTGTCTAGACGTGACTAGCCTTGAGGACAAGAAGCTGCCGCGCCAGCCTTGGCCCCTGAGACTGAGCAGAGGGCGAGGCCTCCACACGGGAAGACTAACACTGTGGGGCAGGAGCTGCTCTTGTGGCCACAGGCCCGGGGCTGTGATGCTTGACTGTCACGGAGCCAACATATCCCTCCCAACTCTCACCCTAGACCTGCAGGTAGGAGACTGAGGGTGAACCCTCACCCGGCCTGTCCTCCAAATGGCTGTGGGTGTGGCATTGGCCTCTATGGCTTTGCTGACCCATAAGCTGGGGGAAACTGTCTCTCATATACCACAGCCAGCATCCTGACTGAGCTGGAGGATCCCTGAGGTCCTGTCCAGGTCTGAGGTTTCTCTGCTTCCCAGCATCCTTCCCCAGCAACAACAGCCATCATCGGGGGAAGATTTAGTCTGAGACAGGCATTGTGCCAAGATCTTCGTGTGAGCCTTCTTTTCTAAACTAACGCAAGCCCCATGGGAAGGTCATGGTTTCCACACTAGAGGTAAGAACATAATGACCCAGATGGAGCAAGTAATTCCCCCAAAAGCCACCCACACAGTCGGTCATAGGCCAATTCTGACTCCAGAGAGCCTCTACCCCTACCTTTCAAGAGTACCCTTGACCGCTGATACAAACGCCCACCGTGGAGACATCCTGTAGCCCAAAGGGCCTGGGGTGACCACACACCCATTCATACTCCTGATCCACCAGTCAGGTGACCAGGGTACAAGGTCAACATGCCTGGGAGGAAGACTGGCTTTCTGGCTGCCCTGAGACTGATTCTCCTCCTCCTGGCCTTCCCTGTGTACGGCTTGTGTGACCAAAAGGCTTAGCAATGGTACCAGGCCAGGTCTCCACAGCAAGGCCCAGATCTCTTCCCCAGGGTTCTCCTGTAGTGTCCCTGAAAGCCTGTACCAGCAAAACCAACCCCTGCTGGTGTTTTCTCTCCGGACAACAGAGAATCTTTTACAGGATACTGAGGTGATAGAATGCACCCCTTGTGTACAGTAAGGGTACCCAACTTCAGTGCCTCCTGAAGATACCTACTCCAGGAGGAGGAGAGGAGAGCTGTTCCCAGGTCCCCCTGTTCTGGCAAACCCACCTTGTCGATGAAGGAGGCGAACTTGTTATTCAGAGCCTTGATCTGCTCCCGCTCCTGCGCGCGCACCTTCTGGATCTCCGGGTCCAGCTCCACGTTGAGTGGGGCCAGGAGGCTCTCGTTGACTGTGACCTGGTGGATGCCGCCGGGCGGGCACACAGCCGGGCACACAGGTCCCAGGGCCACACTGCCAAAGATGCTGCCAGCAAAGCCACTGGCCCGGTTCCGGCTAAATCCAAAACCTCCGTTCTTCCCGCTGCCGCCGGCCATGTTGAGAGTGATGCTCCTGGCGCCCCCCAGGCTGTAGAGGCTCCGGCTGCCGAAGCCCCCGCTGAGCCCTTTGCCCCCTGCCCGGTAAGAGGATGAGCTGCCCCCGGACAGAACAGCTGAGCAGCCGCTGAAGCCCCTGTTGCCGGAGCCAGACTTGCAGGTGAATTGGCGGCTCATGTTGCTGGTGGAGATGGAGTACAAGGACGGGAGGAAGGTGAATCCCAGGAAGGTTGTTCTGGCTGTGGTGAGGACCAGCAGGTGCCTTTATATACGCGTGGCGCTGGGCTTGCAGATGGGCAGTGGAGAGCTTAATTCGTGGGTTTGGCTTGCCTAGGAGCAAGAAGTCATTTTCTCTGTGCTGAGCCAGAGATCGGCCCTCCCCACCTCTGAAACAACATGAAACTGTCAAGTTGCTGGGCTTGCAAACTTTGCTCAGGTAATTTGGGTCTTATCTAATTAACCCACTGTTATAAGGTAATTTGCCCCAGGCCGCAGCCTCCCCAGGGGAATGTCACTGGCACAGTACCATCTTTCTCAGATTTATCTCTGTGGTTGGCGTCCTTGCAGAGGGGTTCAGGGAGCAGAGATGACATGGACATTTTGGACAGAGTTGCCCACAGAGTCTAGTATTCAAGGACTCTACCACAGCTGTATCCTCTGTCCTAGAACAGAGAAACCCCACAGAGCAGCCATTCTCCCCAGGCCTCCTGCAGGCAGAAGCCTTGGAGAGAAGTGGCTCTTTGCTGGGGCACTAGAGTGACAGGGCCCTGTCTTTAGCATTGAGCAGCCCGGGTCACAATAGCTATGGGATCACGGCAACCACGTGTTTATCACACTTTCTGGAGAGAGCTGGATTGTCCTCATTGCACCTCGCAAACATCCACAGTCAGGTTGTTCAGGGGCTGAGGGAGGGGACCAGCCTTTGGGCCACCGGAGAAAAGGAAGAGTCAAGAGCATGGAGTTTGGTGGGGACTCCCTGGCAGCAGGTAGAGAGGACAGACAGATGGACATGGTTTGGGGAGTTCAAAGGCGTACCATAGGAGCTCTGTTTCGCCATGCCCCACACTCCTGCCGTGTGCATCAGCTAGGAAAGGCATGAATCGCCCCCAATCATGAACACTAACTCCAGCCACCGTGCCCAGGCCTGAGAATTCAGGCGTTGAGCCTGTCTGAGGCCATTCCTAGGAGTCCGGACACACAGCTAAGGTCAGAAAGCCCTCAATGGGAGTACTGCTGTCCACCACACCAAACAGTTTTCGGTGACTTGCCTCAAGAGGCTCCCTCTGTGGTCCCCTCTATCCTGAGTCATTGGCTCCCATGATGGCCCCCAGTCTCCTTCACTGATCACTTTGGTCAGCCCATGGCTGCCTCACCTCTGGAGAATGGCCTCTCTCAAAGGTCCCCACCAGAGTGAGGTGGGGCTCTCAGTTGAATAGGGTTCTGAAGGGAGAAAAATCTGGGCACAGGCCAGGCTGGGGCTCCACCTGGGTTCACTGGGCGTGGATCCCAGTCTCGCCTGCTTTCCTTTCCTGCCATTTTGTCTTCATTGCTGATGTCTGAACAGCATCATAGCTTGCTTCCTCCTCCCTCTTTCTCCCTGTCTCCCCTCCATCCTCCATCCACCCTTTGTTCCCCCATCTCTCATTCTCATGCTCTATCCAGCCCTCCTCATGGATCTTCAGGACAGCTGGCATCCTGGGAGCCCTGCTCTCCTCTCTCAGTCCTAGGCATGCTCTTGGATGTGAGGTAAGACGGTGACTATGGAAGCGACTTCCTCAACACTCCTCTCAAGACCACCACATCATGCAGCATCTCAGTTCCCTTTTGTAAAGAGAGCAGAGCTTCCCCAGATGTCCCCAGAACTTTCCCAGAGGCCGCCTAGCATGCTTCTCTCCCTTCCTCCCACCTCTGTCCGCTTCATCAGCCTGAGTACCCATGGTACATCTGTGTGATGCTGAAGGATTTTTCAGTGCTCTCAGAGCACAGCCCTGGCACAGCATCCCTGTCAACGGCTTGGCCAGCTGTACATTCCATGACAAATATGGCAGCACCCCAGCTCCTACCCACTCTCTGTTCCTTGCTTCTCCTGGCCTGCCCATGAGCACCTCACCCCATTTTCAGGGCCCTCCAACATTTTACCAAGCTGGCCCCCCACATCCCTGACCTCTTCTCTTCTGACCCACATCCCTCTGCTCCTCTGAAATGTTGCTAAAATCCTGGTCTCCAGCTTGGCCTGTCTTTTCTGCACTCTGGTCCTCTGTCTGTGACAGCTGCATGTGGGAAATGGTGTTTTCTGAATATGTCGAGAGTCCTGTAAGCTAAATGATGCCTCCCTCTGTGGGCTCCTTGCAGTCCAGGATCAGCCCCCACCCAGTGGGCGTCCCCTTGCTGGAGACACAGCAAACAGCTCTATGGGATGTTGGGCTTTTGTCCACCTGGAGTGGCACCAGACCCCAGGGACCCAATTTCTTCCCCACCACATTTGTCCTTTCTGGTCTCAGCTTCTCCCAGGGAAAATGGGGCAATAGACATAAACGCAGGAGCAACAAGGATCTAAACGAAGTGCTCCCTAAGGCCTGAAACATTCTCAAAGTCCAATAACCGGTGTCAGTGACTAAAGAGCCAGAGGCTCAGCCCGTCTTCCCTCCTTCCTCTCCAGTACGGCCTCCACATCAGCACATTCCCATACAGTGGCATCAGATGCTGAGGACAGGGAAGGGGTGGTGACCCTACACACCCCAGGCTCTCCCAGACTGCTGCTGATCCCAGAAAATTGACCATTACAAATAATAGCCACAGTCAAGAGGTTGCCAAGTCTAAAACTCAGTAGGAAGCACTGTATAGATGTTATGTCACATCTGTTGGTGTTGATTCATTTATCACATCTTTGTTGGACATATAACCAACTCCAGATGCAAACAGTCCAAAGTGCCCTGCCTCCAAAGAGCTTATTCTTGGTGTCTTTGCCCTACAAAGGCAAGTGTCCCTGAGAGAAACAGCTCACTGGGTTATTACCAAGTCATTTACACAGTAGCATGAATGAGTTAATCAGATACTGGCCATGAGGAACGGAACGCCCTGTGTTGTTGATGAGGATGATAATAGAGGAGGAAGCAGGAGTTCTGGACCACCCACAGGAAGGGTGGGCCCAGATCAGGTACTTGGGATGCTCACACTTTGCTAGAGGGTAAAGGGAGGGTGTAAAGAAAACCAGAATGGAGCCCCAGTTCACCAAGGGTACGAAGGCTCTGTCCCTGCGTTAGCTGAGATATGGAGAGAAGTGTGGCAGGGAAAGACAGACCCCCGCTTTAGGAATCCCACGGCCTCATAGTAGAGACCTAACCCACTTGTCCCCACACAGGTGACTCTCTGACAGAACGGACTATTGAGTGATGCTCAGCCAGCCACGTGTGTCTTAGGGCCACAGCATTGCTCACCTGTAAAATGGGAAGACTACAAGGTCATGGAATAAAACCTTGAAGATAACAGGGAGATCTGGCTTGGGCATTCAAGGGCAAGGCTTAGCCAATCAGCTTTATCTCTGTGTGTGTGTGTGTGTGTGTAGTTTTGTGTGTGGTGTGGTTGTGTATGTGGTGTGTGTATGTGTGGTGTGTGTATGTAGTTGTGTGTGTGGTGTGGGTGGTTATGTTGTATGTTTGGTGTATGTGTAGTTGTGTATGTGATGCGGTTGTGTATGTGGTGTGATGTGTATGTACGTGTGTGGTTATGTTGCATCTTTGGTGTGTGTGTAGTTGTGTATGTGGTGTAGTTGTGTATGTAGTGTGGTTGTGTATGTGGTGGTGTATGTGTTTGTGTGTGTGGTTATATTGTATGTTTGGTGTGTGTATGTAGTTGTGTGTATGGTGTGGTTGTGTATGTGGTGGTGTATGTGTTTGTGTGTGTGGTTATATTGTATGTTTGGTGTGTGTATGTAGTTGTGTGTATGGTGTGGTTGTGTATGTGGTGTGGTTATGTTGTTGTTTGGTGTGGTGTGGTGTGTGTCTGTGTCTGTGTGTCTGTGTATCTTATCAAATCAGCTTTATCTTTGTATTATATTGGTTTATACTCAGCTCTTCTATTTTGTTTATTCGAGTAAATTGTATTTTTCTCTCCATCTGTGCTTCTGTGTGTGGTGACAATCAGGTTAACACATTTGTGTCCCATGCATGGTTTTGATTGGCACATCTGCTGACCTTTTCCAGAGGTCTTCCAGGAAGCCTCTTAAGAGAAAACCTCTGGGCGAGACTTGAGTCCCTGAGGCTACAGCTTCGGGGTTGGAGAAGGGAATGAACAAAGCGGAGAGGCTTGGGAAACTAACGCTCATGGGCTGCCTGCAAGAGACACTTAGATTTCAATCTTTGAAGGGAAGAGGGCTTGAGCTGACCCTTAAGAAGTAGGGGAAGCATCCTGGGATGGTGAAGGGCAGGTCATCTGTGAGGGAAAGACCCACTAGGCTGAAGTGATTAGAGGCTGACCTTGGGTAGAGAAACTCCAGATCTCAGGCTGTGTGACATGTGTGTCAGGGAGTCACTGAAGGCTGTTGAGCCTGAGAGAGCCTGAATGGCACATGTCTGAGGAAGCAGAGTCCAGCCCTGTGTGGGTAGAATCGGGGATGGGAGAGGCCAGAGGCACCAAGAGAGGGGCAGGTGGTTCTCTGAGCAAAGTGATTATCTCCAAAATTAGAGAAAATGAGCTGGGCTATTTGGATGACATAAGCTCAGGTCCCTTCCAGCCCTCCTCACAGAGGGACCAGGTCATGAGTGTGCTGTCTGTGAAGCCCCAGGAGTGGTCTCCTTGCACTCTTGTGTGGCCTCAGGTAGGCAGTGCCCTCAGCCTGCTGAGCCAGCTGGAGTGACTTCGGACCTTGGAGAGGTGGCCGCAATCAGACCACTTAAGGGACAGGAGGGATCTCAGCAGGTTTGGTACTCAAAAGGCCAGAGATGAAGCCACCCCAAGGAACTGGGGTATAAAGGACAGAGATGAAGCCACCCCAAGGAACTGGGGTATAAAGGACAGAGGAATGTATCTTGATGGAGAGATGCCATTTCGGACAGCCCTGTCCCCTGTCACCTCCATTGGCTGTCTGGCCGGGACACTTCCTTTGAGCATGATTGACCATCTCTTTGCCCAATTCCATACCTCTGGCATAGTGTGTGAACTTGTGACTCTGAGGACCCCATGTCCCAACCTCACCTGGGCCACTCATTACCTGTGTAACAGTGGGTAGGGCTTCTACCTTCCTATGCCCCTGTTTCTACATCCCTAAGGAGGGGGACACCAACGTCTGGTCCACCCACTCCCCGAGGTGGATGGAAGATACCTTGTAAATAATAATAATGAAGATGACCGTGACCGCACTGCAGCAGCTAACACTTAGTCATGCTTCATTCTCCCAGCCACGGCTCTAAGCGCCTTGCATATATTAATTCATTTAATCCTCACAACAGCCCTGAAGGCTGGCACTATTATTATCCCCACTTCGTAAATGAGATATTAATGCCCAAGGAAGTTGGGCAACTTCCTCGAGGTTGCACGGCGGGTGAGTAGCTGCACCGTGGCTCAGCTGCCACTAGAGTGGCTGCAGCCTGTGACCTGGGCTTCTCATAGCCTGGCTTTCTGCAGCACAGGTGCCTGGAGCAGACGCTTGCCCTCCGGGTGCCTCCCACAGCCTCCGGTTTCTGCTCTCTTCTGTAGGTCTGACTGCTGCTGAACCATAGTGGCGAACACCGAGCTGTTCGGATCCTGTCCCTCCCATCCCTGAGTGCTCCTCCTGTTTCTAACTCCAGAAGTCTCACTTCAAGTATTTTCCATGCATTCTTGCTCAATAATAGCCCTGGGAGGGGAGGCAGTGACTCCAGCTGGTGGCAGGGTGAGGTCATCATCCCCCATCCAACGTCCTGGAGTCAGTGACAGCAGAGGGCCCGAGAGGATGTCCCTTCCCAAATGACTCACTCAGCATTTATCAAACAGCCTCTCCATGTCAGGCATCCACCACACGCGGGGATAAGGGAAGACACAGCCCGCCTTGGAGGGCTTCTCAGTCCAGTAAACACTGGTCCGCTCTGCTGACTCCGGCTCTGCTGACTCTGGCCGTGGTGGGATTTGGTGCTCACATTAGCTGGTTGACATGGGGTTGAGGGCTTCAGCAAGACTGGACCTTCAACACCTGGTCCAAAGGGTTGGAAAGGCAGCCCGGTGGACAAAGTGCTTGCCACACAATTGTGAGCCCCTGAGTTCAGATCCGGAGCACCTGCACAAGAAGCCAGCCCCGGTGGGGTGGGCCTGCTCTCCTAGCACCGGAAAACAGATGTAGGAGGATCCACAGGGCTTGCTGGTGGCCAGTCAGCCTAGTTAAATCCAACTGAAGAATTCCAAGTTCAAGGAGAGGCCTTGTCTCAATAAATAAATAGATAAATAAGGTGGAGAACAATAGACCAAAATACCTGAAGCTGAACTCGGCCTCCTCACACATATGTGTGCCCACCTATACACACAAACTCACAGATACACACATGAATGCACATACAGGCGCACACACAAATCCGGGTCCAAGCTCCAGGGACACAGCTCTGGCTGATGAAAGAAATGTCGTAGTTAGTCAGTGTATCTTGCTTCAGCTCACCGTTCATCAAGGGCGAACATGGACACTGTTCGGATCCTGTCCCTCCCATCCCTGAGTGCTCCTGTCTATAACTCCAGAAGTCTCACTTCAAGTATTTTCCATGTATTTTTGCTCAGTAATAGCCCTGGGAGGGGAGGCAGTGACTCCAGTTGTCCCTCATGGCCCAAGCCTGAGACACAGGGAGCCAGTTAAATAAACAGGAAATCCGGTGAGAGAACCTAAGGTTGCCTCATCTGGTGGCAGCCAGTGTCCCAGATAGTCATCTCTTGGCCATCAAAGACTAGCTTGCCCTTCCCTAGGCCAGTTGAATAGAGGCTATGTGTCCCTGCGTCCTACTGGCCCTGGATAGTCTCCCAGGCTGTGGCAGACTGCCACTGATGGATCGTGGGACCCTAAGTCTGGGAACACAATTTCTCTGTCCTTGTTGCTAACACTCCCACATTCAATTTGTACTTTTATTGAAAGAAAATTGATAGACCGTAAAATGAATCATTTTGCTGAACAATTGGCATTTCTGTTTTACTGACGGTATAGACAACCACCTCTTCCTAGTTTCAAAACATTTCATCTCTCCAAAGACAGCCCTGCATCCACGTCTGCAGCCTGGATTTCCTCATCTGAACACCTCTATGAATGGATCGTGCAATAGGGGAATTGTTTTATTCTTTTTCTTTTATTTAGCATGATTTTATGCCCCCCAGGAATCACTCACATTGTAACAGCATTTCTTTTCATGGATTAAAAAATTACTCATTGTAAGTACGTACTATACCTCAGTTTTAGCCATTCTTTCTTTGATGGAGTGTGGGCTCTTTTGTCTAGTGCTGCTCTGAGCTTCTATGTCACGTGTGCTGTTGAAATACCTGATTTCAGTTCCTTTGCCTGTGGCTCTAGGAGTGGACTTGCTGGCACATGACAACCTTCATATTTATCTTATTATTTTGTGTGTCTGAGTGTTTTCCCTGTGTGTGTGTCGGTGTGCCACATGAATGCCTGGTTCCTACCGAGGTCAGAAGAGGGAATGGGATCCCCTAGAACTTCAGTACAGATGGTTGTGAGCCACCACGTGGGGGCTGGGAATAGAACCCGGGTCCTCTGCAAGAGTCACAAGTGCTCTTAACCACTGAGCCAACTCTCCAGCCCAATTCTTAAGGACCATACAGAGATTCTAACCTCTCTGTCAGGCTTAGTGGTACATACTCTTAGACCCAGCACTTGGGAGGCAGAGGCAAGTGGATCTCTAAGAGTTTGAGGCTAGCCTGGTCAACAGAGAGAGTTCCAGGCCAGCCAGGGCTACACAGTGAGATCCTGTCTCCAAACAACACAACAGCACAAAAGGTCCCAGCTTCCCTCACCAGTATCTGTTATTGCCTGTTTTTTATATATATTATAATTGCTTTGAAGGTATAAATTATGGATTTTCTCCCCACTTTTTCTAATGTCTGTTTTGAGCATATTTTCCTATGTTCATTGGCCATATGTTTACTTTCTGTAGATGAAAATTCACTAAAATCCTTTGCACACTTCTTTTTTTAAAAAAAAAAAAGCTAGTATTAGTGTGTGTGTGTGTGTGTGTGTGTGTGTGTGTGTGTGTGTGTGTGCTCATGCGTGCATGTGAATACAGATGCCCGAAAAGGCCAGAGGTGTTGGATCCCCTGGGGCTAGAATTACAGGTGATTGTGAACCATTTGATGTGGGTGCTGGAAATCAAATTCTGCTGAGCCATGTCTCTGGCCCCTTTGCACTTTCTTATCTAGGCTGTCCTTGTCTTGTTGAGTTAAAAGAGTTCTTTCATACTCTGAATACTAGAACCTACTAGAGAAATTATTTATAAATATTTCCCTCTCCTCCTGCAAGCTGCCTTTTCACTTAATTTCTCACCTCCCCCATCATGTTTTTATTTCTTGAGAGAGGGTCTTACTGTGTCACACCCCACGGTGGCCTTGAACTCAGTTTCTCAAATACAGAGGTAGCAGCACACACCACCATGCCTGGCCCTTTCCATGTCCTTGATAGCGTGAGTTGTGTGCTGTGCACTGAGGAGCTCCCCCCAAAGGGAGGAGGAAGACTGATAAGAGGAGCTCTTGAAATTTCTCAGACTCAGGAAGCACAGAAAAGTCCCACAGTCATGAGGGGAGAAGACGGTCCTGTGGAACTGATTTCACTTTGGGCAGAAGCACAGTTGTCCAGAGACACAGCTTTCTGGTTCGTCACCTCTGCTGGGATGGGCTTTTTGGTGACACCTTTGAGTCAGCCAAGCTCTTGTGTGTAACCCTCTTTCATACGCCTGTGTGCGGCTCCAGCAAACCCACCGGCTCACTAGGCTGGACTCGGATGGAATCACTCCTTGGTCTGCCGTCAGTGTCCTATCTGGGCTGAGATGCTGTTCATGTGTCCCCAGGAAAAGCCTTTAACTTGGCTTAAAGCCTCACAACAATGCTGGCCATAGCGGTTCATACCTGAAAACCCACGGCTTGAGGAAGGAAGGGTGCCATGAGTCCAAGGCTAGCCAGGGCTACAGAGTGACTTGCCTCAAACAAAACAAAACAAGACAATGCAACTTATTTTTAAAGATTTTTTAATTTTTTTGAACATTCATGAAGTTCAATGGTTTATCCATTTTGCCTAATCCACTCCCCATCCTAGAGTTGTACAAATTTACCCTTGTATTTTCTTCTAGGAGTCTTATAGTTTTAGCTGTTGCATACATTTGATTCATTTTTGTAGATGATGTGAGAGGCACACGTGCATGGCTTTGAGTGTTTCTGTCTCTCCCAGCAGCCTGAAGTGACCTCTTGAGGAGTCCCCTGGGTTGACCTCCAGCTATGCAGTAGGCTGTGCACATGTACAGGTGGGTCACCCTGTCTTTAGACAGTGGAACATTTGGAGAGATTGACAGGCTGACAGAAGTGTACCTCTGACATTGCTCCAATGTGCAGTTTACTGCACATTCAGCAGAAATTTAGAGTCCTTAGACCATGCAAGGGAGGGACAAGGTGGCTCCAGCCTTCACACAGTAAGCCCTGACTTCAGGCTGGGTAGGACCACCCAGAGGCAAGATTAAGTCCACCCACTGGACTCAGCTTACCGCAATGGCACTCTAGAGTCGTAAAGTCCTGGAGATCACAGGCCTAGAGAGAGGTCCAGGGACCAAAACTAGCCACCATCTTCACAAAAGCCAGCATAATCAACTGCCCTTATCGAGGACTGTAACCTTGACATGCTTTCTCTAAAACCGGGGGTGATTTGACATACCAGCAAAACATCATGAGCCCTGCAGCCTGCCAGGCTTGCACTGGCTTGGAGGCATGTGGGCTAGTTCAGCCACTCTGAGAAACAGCGTCCCCCTATGTCCCAAAGATGTGGCTTGTGTGTTCTCTGCAGGGTTAGGTCAGAACTAGAGGCCACACATGCCAGCAGCTCCTGACAGCCTGGCACATAGTGGGGCTTGGCAGATGGAAGTGGCTATTGTTGCTAATAAAGGTGACAGCTTGAGGGGGTAAAAAAAAAATCTCTTCCACGTGGCTCTGTGAATAGGAGCTCGTGGGGCATCTGCAAACATGCACATCTTTGTCCTGAACCACCCAGTCACTCTACAGTGGCCTGCCCAATGGGACAGAGAAAGACTGCCAGAAGTCCCACCCACTCTGAGAAGGGCAAAAAATCCAGATGATAGAGAAATGACCTCCATATACCTCCTTTCTCTCCACCTTCTTCCTCTCCCCTCCCTCTGTCTGATCATAGCCTCCTTAGCTCAAGAAGACGATGGCTTGAGCTTCCAGAGCCTCCTGCAAACTGAAGGCAAGAAAAGTCAGAAGCTCCCATGGGACCTGCTGACCCGGGGAGACTGACTGTGTCACTCAGAACTTGAAGTGGATAGTGGATAGGTCAAGGGTGATGGGCATCTCTGGGCAGCAGCGAAGTCATTCTTCCTCTAGACACTGGGGTGAGTGGGGTGGCGGCTTCATCAAGTAGTCTTCTTGGCCAGGGTACCAACAGCGGTGCTCTTGTCCTGGGAGTCCCTGATGTCTCTTGCTCCTCTGGTCTTTTTGGCCTGGTTGTTTCGAGGGGTGCCGGGGCTGCCAGCTGCATTGTCAGCCCCAAAGTCAGAGCTCATGGAGCTTGGATGATAACCGTAGGAACCGTAACTGCTGCTGATGACAGCTGAGGAAGAGAGTGTCTGTCAGCAAGTGGCAGCATCTGTGCTGACTGCCACCTCTGAAGACGTCCCGCCTGTCCCACTACCATCCTCAGAAGTCAATGTGCACAGCCAGTGCAGCGAGTGAGACATTGTCGTGTGACAAATTGTGTGATGGAGGAACCACAGATTACAGATGCGGTGCCTGCCTTCTGGGATATCCTGGGGAAGTGACCATTCCCAAGCCGTTCTCTGGACAGCAGTATCCCAGGAGATGGGCCACAAAAAAACAAAACAAACAAACAAACAAAAAAAAAGCTGGGTGTGAACTTCAATCGCTTTTTCCAGGGGGCAAAAGATGGGAAATGTTGCTCTGATGCCAGAGAACATTTGCAGGACATTAACAGAAACTTCTAGGTGAAGTAAGATGATGATTGGAAGTGCATCCCTGTATCCCACGGCCCCTGGCTTCCTCAGCCCAACCCATCTCTAGGATACTCACAGATGCTCACAGAGGATGGGTTCTCACCAGACATCCTGCAATGCAGAAAATTAAGATAAGACTTCTCAGGAGGCTGAGGCAGGAGGATTGCCATGATTTTGAGGTCAGCCTCCACTACAGAGAAAGACCTTGTTTCAAACAAACAAACCAAACCAAAAAAAAAAAAAAAAAAAAGGAATAAAACCACCAGTGATTCAGCCGAGCCTTAGTGGACCCCTGCTCTTGTGTGTTTATGAGTTTAATTCATTCTTCTAGCAACACTGGAAGATGCACATCTCCACTCTATAGATGGGGGAATAGAGACATGGCATCATCTACTGGGACCCTATTGCCAGCACAGAGCCATGGGGCAATCTGTCTGTACCTACAGCTCCATCTGTATCACCACACAGCCTCCTGTACATATGGCTGGCCTCTGACATCCTCCTGTAGGACGCACAGCTGAGTTCACCTGGCAACCCACAGCTGCCCTCTCTTGAGGTGTTTCCAACACTGCTTTTCTTATCCTCCTCCTCTAAAATGTCCCCCCAGCCAGAGAAACCACAGCTGTTTCCCCCTCGGCACCATGACCTTGCCCTCCAGACCCACCTGCACTCCTCGCCCTCCAGCAGCTTGCGGTAGGTGGCGATCTCGATGTCCAGTGACAGCTTCATACTCATCAGCTCCTGGTACTCCCGCATCATCCGGGCCAGCTCCTCCTTGGCCTGCTGCAGGGCGCCCTCCAGCTCATCCAGTTTGGCCCGGGCATCCTTGAGAGCACAGTCACCTCGCTGCTCGGCATCAGCGATGGCTGTCTCCAGGTTGGAGCACTGGGGAATCAAGAACAGAGAGACGATCAGAACATAAAACACAATCAGATCACACTGGTTGTTAATATCATTGATTTGATGGAATCACCCAGGAGACAAGGCTCTGGTTGTGTCTATGAGGGATTGTCTTGATTAGGTTGGTTCAAGTGGGAAGACCCATTCTAAATGTGGGCAATACCATTCCCTGGTCTTAGGTCCTGGTTGACCTATGAAAGAAGAAAGCTAGTTGAGCTCAGGCATTTATCAACCTCCACTTCTTAACTGCAGATGCAACTTGACAGCCTGACACCATGCTGGACCATGCTGTCCACAATGACACCATGCTGGACCATGCTGTCCACAATGACACCATGCTGGACCATGCTGTCCACAGTGTCACCATGCTGGACCATGCTGTCCACAGTGTCACCATGCTGGACCATGCTGTCCACAGTGTCACCATGCTGGACCATGCTGTCCACAGTGACACCATGCTGGACCATGCTGTCCACAATGACACCATGCTGGACCATGCTGTCCACAGTGTCACCATGCTGGACCGTGCTGTCCACAATGACACCATGCTGGACAATGCTGTCCACAGTGTCACCATGCTGGACCATACTGTCCACAAGGTCACCATGCTGGACCATGCTGTCCACAGTGTCACCATGCTGGACCATGCTCTCCCACAGCTGCCAAAGTAAGGCTTTCTCCCTTAAGTTGCTTATGTCGGGGTATTTTTATCACAACAGGAAAAATAACTGCAACAGCGGTAAGGTAGCACAGTAGCCTCGTTATACAGATGAGACCCAGGGTACAGGAAGGAGCACCAGAACCTGGGCCTACACTTTCCGTTGCCCAAGCATAAGGACCTGAGTTCAGATTCCCCAGAACACACATAAAAAGCTGGGTTTGGTCATGTGCCCACTTATAACCTAAGAGCTGTGGCTGTGGGTAGAGAAGGGAGGATCACTGGGACTTGCTGGCAACCAGCTTAGCTACAAGTTCAGTGGGAGACTTCGTCTCAAGACAGAGTGGTAGCAGGACGCAGGTGTTCTCCTCCGACCTCCGTACACATCCGGGTGTGGACACCTGTACACATTTGCACATACACCACACGTACATGCACACATATTTTTCAGAAGTTGGGAAAATGAGGCATTACCATGGGACCCTTGGGAGCTGATGGAGGCCAGGAGAGCAAGAAGAAATTTCGATGATGCTGAAGTTGTCTAAAGCCTGAAGTCAAGGCCATCGTGGCTACAGGACCAGCCCACCAGATGCAGAAGAATCATTCCTGAGGTGCTAGCCACACTGCCCCCAAGGATCAGACAGCATGCACCACCACACTCAGATTTCTGCTGCTGGGCACCCCTCCCCTTTGCCCCTGTTAGCACCAAGACAGAGTGTGGCTGCAGCCCTCCCCCACCCCCTGCACCCTGCAGGAGCTTTTCCAGGCTTCCTGAACGCTCCCATGTGTGACCTGGATAGGCAAGGCAACCTTTCCATAAAATAGCCCTAACTTACATCCACAGGACGGGATGCTGGACTCCGAGGAAGCCCCCAGGCTTCTGTAATTTCAAGGGCTACCAAGAGGGCATTGATGACGGAGTCTGTAAGCCAGACAACCATAGTTTTAAAAGTGTCCCTGTGTCCTGCCCAGGGATCCATGAGGTCCCAGGGATGTAAGGAGAAGAGTCAATAACAACCCATTACTATCAGTGTTGATGTGGCTCCTCAGAGGGTCCCTGAAAGGAACACACACACACACACACACACACACACACACACACACACACACACTCACATACATACACACATTCACATACATACACACATTCAAATACACTCACACATTCACACACACATTCATGCACACACACACACTTACATACACATACATACACACTGACACACATACACACATTCAAATACACACACAATTACATACACACACTCACACACACACATATACTGGCACATACACACATATATACACTAACACACACATGTACTCACATACACACACATACGCAACACATACACACATATATATACTGACACACACACACACACTCACTCACTCACCCAGCATTTAGATATTGCTGTCTTGGGTGAGACCAGTGCAAAGGTCCTGTGGCACAGGTGGGATAACCCAGGGGACTTCATCTGCGGCTCACCCTTCCACCAGGGCCCTGCCCCCACCACGAGGACGGGAATGCAGGGCAGCCACAGAGGGCCCTGTCTTATCCTGTGCACCCAACCACTTGGGAGAAGGAGGCTCAAGTCCTGCTCTCGGAGGGTCACACACAAGAGACAAGGGACAGGTGTGTTGGGCACAGAAAAAACTTAAAGCAAGGCTACCTGAGCACGTGAGCTCTAACCTTGCCCTGTAAATGAAGAGCTGGGGAGGGTGAGTCACTGTTCCCTTCCTGCCCAGCTGTCTAATCTGCACAGTGGGTCAGCCAGAGGTGGACAGAGTCTTCCCCATGCCGATGCAGGGTGAGAAGGAGGCCTACGACTGTTCCTGGGACTCCCAAGCCTGGGAGGGAGACCCGCTTCTTCCTCAAGAGCAGCCCTGCGTCTCCATCACAGGGCTGTAACTTTACCAGGTCACTGCCCACCTGCTTCTTCACGCTAGCGATATCACAGCGGATCCTCTGGATAAGCCGGTTCAGCTCCGACATCTCATTCCTGGTGTGTTTCAGGTTGTCCCCATGGCAGCCAGCCGCCAACTGCAGCTCCTGAATCTAGGGACCCAGAGGCAGGAGATGGTGATGAGACAGAGGAACGAGAGAGCACACCTACCCCAGGGAGCTTGAGATGATCCTGGAGGTGGTGAAGCCAGCACCTAGGTGTCCTTCCAGCTCTGACCAGGAAACCCCCTCACCCTGTCCTTTAGGCAGAACCTGCATGTGGCCTCTTTCCCAGGGTGGACAGGGAGGTGCAGTTCCCTCTGCCTTCTCCAGTGTGAGAGTTCTGACACCCGTTTTGTTCATCACCCCGTATTCCGAGGGGCGTCTCTGCCCCAGCATCGCACATGTAGCAGTGAGCAGGGTCTGCCCTGCTCTCTCTGAGGCTCACCCCCTCCTGCAGAACTTTCCCAGGCGAAGGTCAGAGGGGAAGGGAGGGCGGGGACGCGTGTGTCTTTAGAAGGAGTTACAGGTGGGTTTGGGGTAGGGTGGGGGGCTAGTGGTCCAGCTCTCCAGGAAAGAGGACATGGAATGCCTGTGAACAGGAACAAGGGACAGGAGAGGGTAATGAGATTGAGCTGCACCTGCCATCTGTGCTTGGTGGTGCTACTGTTGAAATTAGGAAGGCTAATGTGTTAATATCTCCTCAGCTTGGCGCTATTGAGACGTAAGTCCTAGTTAGAAGTTTAGGTCACTGGGGACATGTCCTTGAAGAGGTATTGGGAACTGAGACATCCGGCCACTTTCTCCTACTCTCTCTCTCTCTGCTTCCAGGATGCTGTGAAGTGAGCTTCCTCCCCTTCCACAAGCTCCCGCCATGAGATGTATTATGCATCCCTGGGGCCAAGTATCCACAGACTGAAACCTCTGTGGCCACGAACCAAAACAGACCTCCACTGCTCATAAGTTGTTTTTTCTCACTGCTTTGTTACAGGAATGGAACGTTGACACCTTAATGACTGTGAAAATGGGGGTTAGCAGAGGAGAGGGCCTTACTCCATCACCTGATCTATTGGTCAGCACGCTCTTAGAATTCCAACTGGCTCTTGAGGGTCTTCCAACCTCCTCATGCATGGCAGAAAGGAGCTTGGGGCTCCCCCTTCTCTCTCCACCTGGCCCCAGCTCACCCACCGCTACTCGGTTCCTCCTTCCCTGTGTCTCTGTGCCCCCCGCCCCCATAACATCATCTGCTTTATGATGGGAGCCTCTCAGTCTATGCCACCTCGAGGACTAGCTGTCTCTCCCTCTTGGATCTGTCCGCCCACACTAGTTGGACAGCAGGGCTGAGGACTCCCTTTGGATAGAATGCCATCGGTCCCAACTCTCATGCAGCATTTCTATGGTGTTGGTGGAGGGACCCTTCCCAGGAAGGAGAGGGGCTCCCCCTCCCCCACCAGGACCCACCTCAGTCTGGTACAGCGTCTCGGCTTCAGCCTTGCTCTTCAGGGCAATGTCCTCATAGTGGGCACGGACCTCAGCAATGATGCTGTCAAGGTCCAGATCCCGGTTGTTGTCCATGGACAGGATGACAGAGGTGTCACTGGCGTGAGTCTGGAGCTGAGCAATCTCCTGGGTTGGGGATAGAAACAGAGTCAGGGCCCCCAGATCCTCACCGCTTCTCCATCAGGCTTCTGGGTCTGAGGTCTCTGACAGAGCTGGCCACGCTAGTCTCTGCAAGCATCTTTATCTGAGGTGGTCCTGAGTCCCTCCCACTGATGTCCCTCTGGGAGGGTCAGGGTCTCTCAACTGGAAAGAGTTGGAAGTATGGAGGATGGGTGTGTCCTCACCGCATCGTACAGACACTTGAGAAACTTGATGTCTTTGTCCAGAGAGTCCACTTTGGCTTGAAGTTCCACCTTGGCTGTGTAGGCTGCATCTGCATCCTGTCGAGAGGCCCCGTAACATCATCAACACATCCCTCATTCCACCAACCACCTGCTTCTGCTGCTGCCCTGGCCTGTAGCCACCCGACTTTCAACACATTGATGCACTCACTCAACATCAGCTTTCCTCAGACTGACCGAACCTTTGGGAACGGAGGAAGGGAACAGGACCAGTCATCCCTTGTTTCACCTACAGAACACACAGCCCAGAGAGGCACTTGCATTTCCTCAAGCCACATAGGAAGACCAAGCTGAGCCAAGTTCTCCCAGTGTCCCCACAGGACTCCCTCCTCTCTCTTCCTATCCAGTGTCTGGCTATGTGTCCTTCTTCTCCAACTTGCTGGAAGCCATAACTCTGGTCCCACTGAAATTCAGCCCCTAAGCCCTCTCTAGGTGTCCTGGATGAAGTCCTGAGCAGAGCTGCTTAAAGTACAGGCACAAGAGAGACTGAAGCCCAAGGCCTCTTCTGAGCTCACCTTCTTCCTTTTTAAAAATATATTATTTGTTTGTTCTTGTTTTTCGAGACAGGGTTTCTCTGTGTAGCCCTGGCTGTCCTGTAACTCATGTCATAGACCAGGCTGGCCTCGAACTCACAGAGATCTGCCTGCCTCTGCCTCCCGAGTGCTGGGATTAAAGGCGTGTGCCACCACCACCGGGCCTGGGCTCACCTTCTTAAGCAACACAAACTCATTCTCCGCTGCTGTGCGTCGGGCGATCTCCACCTCATACCTGTGGGAGAGGGGAGAAGATGGCAGAGGTCTGCCTGTCTGTCGAGTAACCTCTTTCCACTACAGGGCAAGCCCTGGTTTTGGTGGGATCTCTGGGCATTGTGATTTGAGTGTTACGTGTGCCCCACAGACGCACACATTTGAACACTTGGTCCTTAGCCTGTGGTACTGTTTCGAAGGCTGTGGAAGCTTCTAGTCATGGGCCCTAGATGGCAGCCATAAAGCTGGAGGGGCAGGGCTGAGGAGTTCAAGCTTGACCCTACTTCCGGCCTCAGCTCTCTGCCTCATGCGTGGTAGCACAAAACAGACACTGCCCACCACCACGGAGCTACCAGCTGCTGTCTTTCCATCCCCACAACACCACAAGGATCGTATCCCCTCACATCGTGAGCCAAAAGGACTGTATCCCCTCACACTCTAAGCCCAAACAAACCTCTCCTTCCTTAACCCGCCTCCTGTCAGGCATTGGTTTCAGTGACAAGAAAAGCAGCTGATATGCCAGAAGTGAGTGCCAAGAGGCCAGTGGTGTTAGTCAGAACCTTGGATCTCCTTACTGCATCCCAGGAAAATACCCAAACACCTATACAGAATCCTTTACCAGCAACAGAAGCATCCAGAGGGCCAGTGAACCCAGGGACTCCTCCCTATCTGCCTGAGAAGATATTACCGCAGGGCGGGTACCTCTCTATCGCCAGGGAAGACCACATGAGCCCCTGACCCTGGAGCTTTGGTGGCCTGCTCACCTTTTCTTGTAGTCCTCCACCACATCCCTCATGTTCCTCAGCTCCGAGTCCAACCTTAACCCGTCCCCAGACAGCGCATCCAGATGCTTGCGAAGGCTGCCAATGTGGGCCTCATAGATGGGCTCCAGGCTGTTCTTGCAGTTGTTCAGGTCCAGCTGCTGCAGCAGCTCCCACTTGGTCTGCAGCACCTGGTTCTGCTGCTCCAGGAAGCGCACCTGGAACGCAAACCCACAGCCACCTGAAGCCATACAGATATTATCATGCCCCATGGACGTTCGCCGTTGACTTCCCAAGAGAAGGGGAGCTTTGTGGAATCCTGTGGGTCAAGCCCTAACTGTCCACCAGCAGTCCTTCCTGGGAGACACCGTTAACAAGTGCATTCCCAGCCTTCTGGGTCCCAAGTCACTGAGCGCTTGCCCAAGAGACGGCATTCTAACTTCTTCTGTGGCTTGACCCTGGACCCAGAAGACATTCCCTTCGGTCTAAATGTGCCTTCCTGTACTGTGAACCCTGCCTTCTGGATTGTACTTAATTCTCTCAGCTGTTCACATTCTTAAAAAAAAAAAAAATACCTCCGGACACCTCCCACAATTTGACCTTCAGGAACTCACCACTTTTCTCAAAATAAGGCTACCTCTATCCATTCCCCACCTTCTCTATAAGATTTCCAAAGGAGGTAGCCTTCATTTATTTCCCCATTCTGGGCACCTTGTAAATCTATTCCCTTCCCCTTGAGATGAGGGACCACCCATACAGGCCCCCATCACATCCATCCATTGCCCAGGAAACAGGAGAATCACTACTATTATAGCATCATTATGTCTTCCGATAAGACTCACCTTGTCGATGAAGGAGGCAAACTTGTCATTCAGAGCCCTGATCTGCTCCCGCTCCTGCACGCGCACCTTCTGGATCTCCGGGTCCAGCTCCACGTTGAGTGGGGCCAGCAGGCTCTTGTTGACAGTAACGCGGTGGATGCCGCCAGGCAGACCCGTAGATGGACAAGTGGGCCCCAGGGCCATGCTACCAAACATGCTGCTGGCAAAGCCACTCGCCCGAGTCCCTGCATACCCAGAGCTATGCCCAAAGCTGTGCCCTGCGGCCCGAGCACTGCCGCCTGCCACATTGAAGGTTGCCTGCCGATTCCTTCCAAGGCTGTAGAGGCTCCTGCTGCTGAAGCCAGACCCAGCCCTGTGGCCAGCTGCCTGGCAAGCAGCCACACTGCCCATGGGTCTCCATGGTACCACGGCAGAAAGCACACTGAAGCTGCCCTTGTCACTGCCGGACCTGAAGTTCAGTTGGCGATTCATGGTGGATCGTGATGGAGCTGGAGCTGTACAGTCAGTCACACGATCCTGGGCCACAAGAAGGCTGTCTCCTTTTATCCCCACCGAGCCCAGGACACCGGAAAGGGGCGTCTCTCCACTATCTCCTTCCCCTGCTGAAGGGCTGAGGTAATATGCAGAGTACAGGTCTCCAAGCCTTGGAGCAACAAAGCACTTTTGATAGAAAGTGGAATATGCTGTCCTTGCATGCTGCAGTGGTCTAATTTAAAGTTTATCTGGTCCCTAATTAGGGACCTGCGGACTTATCCCCCTCAGCGATCTCTTAGCTTTACTTTTCCACTGATGCCACCTTCCTGCTTATCTACCAACAAGGCACGGGATAAATGCCCGCCTTCATCCAAGGAGGGGTCCTCTGCACACTCCAGCTTCTCCTGTCTCCAGCCATCTGATCTTCTTGAAGAAGGGGGTACTGAGAAAGGAGAGGCTCTGTCCTCACAGATCTGGCTCAATCAAAAAAGAAGGTTCACGGAGTCACCGGTTGGGTCGTGCTAAGGACCACAGCTGTCCAGCACTGGGCAGGCCCAGGACAGAGTAGAAGTGAGAGCCAGCGTCCATCTGGCCCCTGCTTGCATGAGCGCCCTGTGGGCTTTCTGTGTTGGGCAGGGAGTGCCAGGAGTAAGATGACTTCAAAGATGCACTTTCCTCAGTGAGATGCTTCTCAGGCAGCCACCACTTCCTCCCCTGGAGTTTTCTCTCCTGGCTGAGGTTATCTGTCCCATCCTGAGAGCCCAGGCAGGAGCTGGACAGTAGCCGACCTCTAGCTGTAGAACACATCCTGGATAAAGTTGGTCAGAGGTATGAATCCCTAGGTTTCACTCCTGGGCCCCCGGGGCACGGTTCTACCAATTCTCTGATTACTTCCAGGAGCTGCTCGATGTTAGAACCCAAGGTGGCCTGGTGGAGTGGGGACTTTCTGAAGTAGCTTCGAGCGAGGCATCTGACAGCCCTCCCAGTGCCTGAGAGTGAGAGCACTGTGGAGGTTTGCCAAGCTAAGTTCCCCTGAGGAGAGGGCCACGGAGAGGGGAGGAGGGGGAGGGAAGGACAAACCTGGGGAGAGGAAAGAGAAGCAGAGAGGCAGAAGCCATCTCAGAGGAGCACCCCCAGAAAAGGTTTCCATATCAGCCCTGAAGCGGGCATGAGTGCTCCCTCCCAGGGGCCCTGCATTCTAGAGTTCCTAGCAGAGCCTGGCCCAGAGGCTCAGGGAATGTAACAGAAGGGATGGCTTTGCCTGGGGTTTTCTAAGCCAGATTGCAAGGGTGGCAGAGTCTAACTTTGCTTCCTTTTCTGATGTGGAAATGTCAATAAACCATGTAAGGTCCTTGACCTGGAATGACCAGTGTTTGTCCCCAGACTAGAAAGCAGCAGCATCTGCACCAAGAACTGAGGCCCAGGCTGAAGTCCTAGGGTAACTGGAGAGCTCTGTGAGTAGTGAACCAAGATGTACTGAGAGGGAGGGGTTGATTTTGACTGGGTTTGAGGGACATCCAGAAGGCTGAACTCCTTACGAGAAATCCACTGAGTCTGCTTAAAGGATAAAGGAATTTGTGAGGGAGGAAGACTCAATACAGCATGGGAGATTTGTCATATGGGTCCTGGAAGTCTGAGTTACAGTCCCACATCGTTCTTCTGCCTGAGTCCGTCCCAGCATCCAAGCTCACAAGGGAGAGAAGAAGGAGGCATTCGTGTGTCTCAGGTCTTAAGGGGTAGCCCTGAGCCACGCCCCAGGGGCAGGTACTTCAAGGTCATAGGTAGGTAGAGCAGTTACCTGCCATATCTCTAGGGGCAGAGCTTCAAGGTCCTAGATAGAACAGGTATCCACTACAAATGCTCACCAAGGAGCTCGACAAGCAGGGGTGAAAAGTTACATTGTAGCAGCAGATGGCAACTGTAAGAGCGTCTGCTGTCATGGCGGGGGATAGCAGGAAGAGTCAGTCACTGTGTGTGGCTCACTTCCTGTGTGTGAGGCATTGTGCCAACTGCTACATGGCATACTTGTTTTAAAGACATGGTCTCTATCTACGTAGCTGAGACGTATCAGGAACTCTAGATTTTCCTATTTCACGCCCCCCCCCCCAAGTGCTGGAATTGCAGGCGTGTGCTGCCACATCTGACAAGGAGGATCTAATCAATCCATGCATTACTGCTTACAGTTAGGGAAATGGAGGTTTAAGAGACTTACTTGCCCAAGATCACTCAGCTATTACGTTAGAGTGGTACTCAAGTTCAAGTGCATCTGACTTCAAAGCCCGTTTCCCTAACCACTGTGTTACATGACTGAGATGATGTCAGAGGCAAAGGCACACAGATTCCTGGTGTATGTCGCAGGTACTGCAGAGACCCTCATGAGACAAGTGTGGAATGAGGAGAAAGGGATCAAGATTAGACATCATTCTAGTGTTCAGAGAGAAGGTTGGCCAAAGTAGGGGTGAGCAGACAGAGGGAAGAGATCTACGTTAGAGGCTACTTGGAAGCTTTGGACCGCACAGTGCTTGCCTCTCAACTCTAGCTCCAATGGAGAAATAAACTGGCTCCAGCTGAGATTCCTAAGGTGAGTCTTGCACGTTCGGTGCCTGGCAGAGCGTGAGCTCCAGTCTGACAGGATAGCGAGACTTCTTACTGGGACACTGGCAAAGCAGCACCCGCTGGACAAGACTTGGGGTGCACAACAGAAGGTCTCCAGGGGTCAGTGAACGTGCTGCGGAGGAGATGTGTGTCGACGGAGCGCTCAGCCACAAATCTACACCACACCCTCTCTCTGAGGCTTAGGGACTGTCATGGAGGAGGGGAGCAGGAAGATTCTGACAGTGAGAGGTCAGAGAGGACCAGAGTACAACAATGCCTTTCGGATGGGATGGGGCAGCCACATTCAGGACCTCACAGAAGCTGGGGTTGTCTGCCTGAGATCAAGTCTTTCAACATTCTAGCTTGGGGTGGGAAGGGGATCCTGAGCCCAAACTCCTGACTAAGGGCTGTGGACAGTTGAGTTTCTGGGGCCTGTCTAGAGGTATTCAGTCTTCTTCCAGGTGTGGCTCCTGGTAGATCAACCATGCTCTAGTGAGTGGCTCCACACCCACAAGTATATTGGTAGTCAATTGTTATAAAAAAGGGAGCTGATTGTTATTTTAAAAAAATATGATATTAAATTGGAAGGTTAGGATGTGAGGTTAGATTAGGGATGAGTTAAGGGTGAATATTATCAAAATACATCATATAAAATTCTCAAAGAATTGATTTTCACAAAGAAAGAAAGCTGAAGAGTGAGTGGAGCCTACCCACACTCCTCAAAGCAGCTGTGGGAGGCTAAGAAGGGGACCTGGGGTCCTGGCACCCTTCATCTTCATTCCCAAAGAAGTCTTGAGTGCCCCCATACACAGACCCGACCTTGGGTGGTCAACAAGGATGTAATGGTGATTGTGACGGTGAAGGGAGAGACAGAAGAGACAGCAGGGGTGTGATTGATCTCCCTTGGGGACCTCGGCTCCTTCCCTGTCAGGGATAAATAGATCTTGACTGTCACTGACATTACTATTGGTGTGTGTGTGTGTGTGTGTGTGTGTGTGTGTGTGTGTGTGTGTGTGTGTCTCCAGGACATAGTTTGTCTGAGTGGAGACAGACGTGCCCTCCTGACTCCTCGGTGATGCAGTTCTGGAACTGGCTTTGGCCTCTGGATCTCCTCTAGCTCCACCCTGCACCAGGTGGGCTATCTGTCAGTTACTCCTCTGTAAGTTCATGGGAGTAGTAAGTATCTAAATCTGGGAAAGGTTGACTCAGTCAGTGGGTACGGAACTGAAAACCTACTGTATGCACGCTATATATTAGACTCAAGAGAGGAGCTATCCAAGCTGGAGGCCGCTGAAGAGACATAAGTGGAATGTGTTCTGTGATGGTTGCTGCAGTTTTATCTCCACTCCCTGTGTCAATGAGTGACTCAGACAAACTGTGTCTGTCCCAGAGACCACACACACACACACACACACACACACACACACACACACACACACACAGACAAACAATAACGGTGATGGTGGGAAGCAAGATCTATTTGTCCCAAGCAGGAAAGGAGCCAACAGCTCGAAGTGAGAATTCATCAGGTCCAGCTTGGCAAATAAGTAGGTGTTTTGGGGGTTACTATTGGGAATACAGTTAATTCATGGGTACCTGTACCACCGAAAATCCTTTGCTTCCTCTTATGTCGTAGCAGCTGGAATGCCCGGGAGAAGAGGGACCAGATAATGATCTCATGAGGGTGTCAATGTATCTCAAGATCTTGTGTCATGGGTTTTGTGACCATTCCTCTCCCTCTGAGAAAATGTCAATAGTCCTGATCTCCTGTGAGTACCTGTGGGTCATCACAGCTGCTCTGCATCAGGGCGGCAAAGGTCACATCCAGCTGGGAGGAAACAGTATGCTATGTGGCTATTGTTGAAATTTGGATTCTTTAAATAATTACTTTGAAGAGCGCTTTGTGGGGTTTATATATCTTTACCAGCAGAATGGAGGTTGGACTTTCTGGTGTGGGCTGGGATCTAGAAGGCTGGGTAGCCTGGACAGGTGCAGGGAGCAGGCTGTCCAAGCAGTCCCCTTCTCCCTGTAGGCAGTGCGGAATCACACAAGAATCTCCAAGGGGCAACCTCACGGAGCCCGTATTGTAAGTAGACTCTGCATTGCCGGGGAACTTTAGGAGGTTCCGGGACCCTGGAGAGTTCCAAAGAAAATGAGTGAGTCTGTTGTGTTCTAATTGGCCACCATGTCGACACAGAATATTCTGGGAAAGCAAAAATTCGACCCTGAAAGCACATCACACCAGGGAAAAACAGGAAGAGATACCAAGTGGGACAGCACAGCAGCCCCAAACAGATGAAGCTGAGGTCGTGTCTGTCTGCTTTGCGGGGGGTAATGAAGATCATGTTTCTCCAACCCTCTGATCTACTGAGTGTCCCTGTACCCAAAACAGCCATCCCGGGAAGATTCTGTAGATCAAGGTCATTCGTGGAGAGAAGAAGAAACGTGAAGGCTCCTGAGCGAACTG